ACAGGGGATGCTTATACCTTTTTGCTGCCTGATCCCTATTTTGGTGTTTTCAAGATCCGTGTGTGTACTGCTATCAATTTGTATTTTTGAAATGAATTTTTTTCCTGATTACTCTTTATAATGTTCATATCTCATCAAAAACATGCAGAGATAATCGTTTTTATTTCAAAAGGACCGGATAACCTTTAATGCATTTGTCTTAAAAGACTTGTAAATGTGTATGTATCATATAAATTAATTTTGAAGGACTCCATCAATTATATCACTCATCTCTTTTCTAATGAGTTTAATTTTTTTAACAATAATTTTTACTATTCATAAAAATCAAAAAGGAGAAATCGTTGTGATAGTTACTACGACAGGTATTAATCCAATTATGGATCTATTCTTTAGGAAATATAACTTTTTTTCAAATAATCCTGCTCATTCCATATGAATGATGGGAAAGCACTTATTAAATTTTTTTTCCGTATGAGATTATAAAGTTATTGTAAGTAATGTTATGGTGTTAGATTTGTGTAAAAAGAAGTTAAAGAACTTGCCAGAATATTTATTTTAACTTTGATTAAAACTTGTTATTCAAAACCTAGATCCACTCCTTAGTTCTCCCTTACCTGTGTATATATTTGTACAAGTATAAATCAAGAAATGGAGCTAGGGCATTTATCAGATATTTTGGAAGTGGTCATTGTTATTTAGGTGTTTATTTGTCATTGATAAGGTCGGAATCGATTTTTCCTGACTGGGTTAGAGTTTTCCGGCTTTATTATGTCCCTTCTTTGTTCAGTTGTTGATCAGAACAGAGGGGTATGGAAATAGCGAACCGTATTCAATATCAGAGTCCATAAAACAATACAAAATAGGAACAGAGCAAACACGGACCTCCGAAAAATCAGAGGTGGGATCAGGTGCCATGGAAGAGTGAGCATCTCATACTTACAGGTCACACCCGCCAGACTAATATAGACATTGAATGAGGCTAACGATTCCTTCTCTGGTAAGTTACTTATATTAATTTGATATTTTAATTGCTCACCCAAAGCAAAAGCCATTTCCAATTGCACTAGATAAATTGAATGAATGAATTTTGAGAGAAAGTTGATTTATGATATTTATTTATTATTGTTTACAATATCAATGTGAAGTAGTTGATATAAGTAGTTTGATGTTAATCAGATTATGTGTTTTTATGATGATCAAAAATATTTTTTATTATATTGTTCATTGTAAGTGAGAAATTGATATATATTTTTAAGGGGTAATATTTTGAAAGATCATTGTATTAAATGACATCTTTAAAAATCACCATTCATAGAGTTTTCTGACATTTGTACATCAGACAATTTGTGGGTAAGCCTTGTTTCAACCACTATTGAAATACACTGTAGTATGGAAATCATCCAACCGTTAAATTAGTGACATTTCAAGAGTCAATGTTGTCCTTCCTTTTTAGATACAAAATTAAATCCTATATTTTATATTTCCCTTTGAAATATGAAGTTGTGTTTCTTTTGCGTTTTAGTTTAATATGTTTCAGAATTTTCATAATAAATTATTTAAAAAAAACAATGTGATATTCTGATTTAAAAAGCAACGCTTCATTACGTTTTTTTAATATGGGTGAAAATAACTATGACTGTGACAGTAAATATTATTTCAATGTAAGTATATCTAATATTTTTATTCTTATGTTGAAAGAATTTTTGTCCCGTAAATATTATTGATAAACACATTTCAAATTGGATAACAGTAGAAGTATTGGTGACCTGCTCTCACCCTTGATGATGCAAACCTCTGATGCTTTCGAGGTTCGTGGTTGCTCGACTCCTGATTTGTAGTGTTTAATGGACTTGGGACCTCGAATACTGTTTGTCACCTCCAAATTATTCATTGTTGATTATCTTAAGGCATTTGATAGTATTGTATGAAACTATCTTTTCAAAAATCTTATATGTCAGTGGAATATGTAAAAACGTGCAATGGTCTTTGCAAAAGAATGTAGGAGCCACTAGTATGTGAATTACACAAAAATATTTTATCTCATTTTCAAAGGCGAAATACTTATATTCATTTATTGAATAAAAGTCGTATTTTGTGACAGTCTTAAGGATATCAAAATGATATCCTGTCACAGTATGAGAGAATATAAAAAGTTTGGTCTCGATTTTCCTTCCGTATACAAAAATTACTGTAAAAGCACTCCTTGGCCGGTTCTACGATAGAAAGAGTAAATAAAGCATCCTAACAGAGACTAAATCCTCCAAGTTTCTTCAGGTGTGTTGTTGAAATCCATGATATTTAACAGTGTTTTCAATGTTGAATCATGTATGTTGTGTCCAGATGTAACAAAAAGAAAGACAGAGACACAAATTGACGACAAAGAATAAACAGGCCTAAAATTTAAAAAAAAATCCAGTCCCACTCCTTAAAAAATTCAATATCCTGCAACGAAACATTGAATATCCTCTATTAAGTGACAGTTTGCAGTGTAGAACAGGAAGATATTCAGGGAAAAGCTTTGTCTCCTTTACTTTTCTCCTTTATATTTAAACGATTCAATTTGATTCCAATTAGTGGTATGAGATAAGAGACGGGTTCCCTAAAGCGTAATAGAAAGACAGACAGACATCCAATTCACTCTATACTCTCCCATTTTCAAGCGGGGGTATATATTAAACTTACAAATGAACAACATTTCAACGTTTAATTCAATAAGGCTTGACGCATTTTGAAATTAAAATAAAAACTTTTTTTTCATTATCATGCCTTTAAAATCACAACAATAACAACAACAAGAACAAAACATTTTTCAAAGAAAGCTTTAAATTAAAACGGTTATAACATGAGTTAGCAATTAAGACATTTCTTTTGAAATGTTTAAGATAACAACGTTTGAAACACACATATGATGTTAAAAAAGTTGTTGGTAAAAAATATCACACCTGGTGGAAATGGACATTTCTTCTGTTGATTAAGGATCTATTAATTGAATTATAGTTTAATGCCGCGTTTGTGATCTTTCAGCCATTTTCGGCGGTATTTGCCTTGACAACATTTTTTTTGATAAATTAAAAGTATTTTTCACTTGTATATGCTTAATTTGAACATTATCTCTAGAATTACTTCCTTCTGATTAAGTACAAGTATATAAAAACTCTAAAAATCGTTCATTCAAAAAGGAAGAAGCATTACACGTGCTATAAGCCGGTTTATGAAATCACTAATTTCACTGTCATAGTTAATAAAAACAGAACAAATCTTAAGGATGTTCTTCAACCTAATACTAATACTTGTTTATCAGCTACAGGAGGAAATCTGCGCTCAAGACGAAAACATATGCGGGAGAACAAAGTAAGCTTGTTTGCTTTAATCTATACTTATTTTTCATTATATAAAAACTATGATATAAACAAAATAGTACTGTATTACCGAGAGACAGGTTTTTACTAAGATTTTTTTATCTATCTAGTGGTGCCTTTATATGCTGTTCTGGTTATTATTGGTTTAATGACCGTTGTATTGGTAAGTAACATATGATTATAATGAGAATATATACGCTTATCATTCGAACACAATTATGTAATTAAAAACATTTTTCTGTTTATTCCTTTTTTCTCATTCTGCAGAAATAAAAATTCATGTTCCCTAAATGTAAATGTGAGCAATTGTTGAATTTCTTCAGAATGTTTTGGGGCGTATGGAGTAAACTGTTCCATGCCATGTTATAATTCCTACGGCTACAGATGTAAAGAAACCTGTTACTGTAAAAAGAACCAAGTTTGTAATAAATACATAGGATGTCGGGTGAATGGTAAGTGTAAGGTATTTACATATGTATATGGAAATGCAATTAAATATACATAATAAAAAAACCTATATGAAGCACTTGTAAGGCAATGTCAGTGAGCTTGAATTCTGTTCCTTATCTCCATATCTCCATTTCATTTAAAGAAGTAAATGTTATCTTTAGTTCTTAAAGTAAAGAAATTAATGTTCCACATGTTGGAAAAAGGTATATAACAATTTGTTAGCAAGGTATGCAGTTTTTAAGCTGTATATTAACAGACAAATAGACATTTTTTTTTATATTTATATAAATTATCATTTAAAGTATTGTGAAACAATTTATAATTGATGAGTATGTCATTGTATGTTTTATTGATGGAAGAGCAATTGCTCAGGAAATCTCTACATGTGATTTGCTAATCGGCGTTCATGTATTTATTAACGACAAACTTTTTATTAATGATTGGATTTATAAAACGTTTGAAAAGACATAAAATATCGATGCCATTCTCTGTCTAATAAATACATGTGAATGAACATAAGAAAGAAAGGATCTGATGCCTATTAAACTTTCTCAGTCCTTATTATAAAGATAACCCACAACACTGTAACATTTCGCGTACGTTTGGGCAGAAATTAGTCTTTCACCGAAAAAAAGAAAAATATCATCATACAAGGTACATTTTGAAGTAATTGTTTTAAAGAGTTTTTGAAGAAAAAAAAAACATTTACATAATTTAAACATTCAAATTATACTTATGATAATTTTTTTTAATGCTTCTTACATAACATTGAATTCATATTCTTAAAATAAAATATTGCATGAACCAAATTACAATATGCATGTCCTTCAAGAAAACCATTTCACTTTTTTTTTTATCCTTCTATATTCCAATGCAATTCACTAAATTTCATTTATCTATTTTCTCTAACACGTTGAGAGGCAGAGAACAGACTATTGCACTATGTTTATACATATGATCTTTCTTGTTTTTCACAATTATTCATTTGATATTAGAAAATGCCAGAATTCATTTTGTTGGAATTTTCACATCCAGTCATCTCAGTATAATATAATATTCCATGGACTAGTGCTTTTAAATGTTTGTGCTCAGGTCCGACACTTGCTCTCACATGTCTTTTAAACTAACAGTATTGTTTACCAAAATAGTATATTTTCAATCATTTTTTATGTGTACTGTAGACATGAAAATTTGTGCTCAAGTTATATGTTTTACTTCTTCGCCTTCATAGTAAGTCGGGAGATTTAAAGCGGGGCAAATTCAAATGAGACAAAATTATTTCCTAAATAAAGCTTGGTCTGGCTGACGAGGCAGAATATTTGGCAAGAACAGTAGGGAAAACAAGATGCAAATATCGGGGGAATTGCTTTTACAGTTTTATTTAGTCTTGGTGATTGCATTTATAGGAATGGGTATATTGGTCCCTGTTCTTGACTTCAAGAAAAATTTAGAACTCAAGTAGATGAAAACAGGCGTGGGACCAAGACGTAAGCTTTCTGGTGAGCTTGAGATAAAAGATACCACAAAGCCTGACACATCTGTTTCATACTTAGATACTTTACTTGAAAAAGACGTTAATGGTAATCTAACAACCAAGCTATATGATAAACGTGATGACTTTAACTTTACTGTCGTCAGCTTTTGATAGGTCCTAAATGGGCTTCCGTTGATATGCAAGAGCATGCTCTACGTATGAACAATTTCTAAAACGAGGTAAATTATTGACAAGCAAGTTGATGAAACAAGAATATCAGCAGTCTCGTTTAAAGTCATCATTTTGTAAGTTCTATGGTCGATACAATGACCCTGTTAGCAATTACAATTTATCATTGAGTCAAATGCTGACTGAAGGTTTTCATACGAATCAATCGTTACGTCGCGGGTTCGAATCCCACTGTGGGACGTGAAGACCGGTCCTTCGGATGAGACCGCATAAACCGAGGCCCCGTGTCGCAGTAGGTGCTGGCACGAAAAAGAACCCTCACTGCTCAAAGGTCCTAAGTGCGAAGCATGGGATAAAATTTGTAGCCCTCCAACGGCAAATGGTGGCGTCTCCATATGAGTGAAAAATTCTCGAGAGGGACTTTAAACAACATACAATCAATCAATCAATCATACCAATTGTTAGTCCATTATTTAAACACTGAATTGACGACGGATTTTTCCGTTATTTCCTGACCATGATCATGACAAGGAGCACACGGCGGGTGTGACCAGTCGGCAGGGGATGCTCACTCCCCCATTGCACCTGATCGCACCTCTGATGTTTCGGAGGTCCGTGTAGCTGTGCTCCTATTTTGTATTGTTTTATGAACTTTGAGATTGAATACTGTTCGTTATCTCCATATCCTTCTTCTGTTCTTTACTTGTAACTTTGTTGTTGTTGCTGCTGTTTAATAGTATCATACCTGTTCTCTGTTCCTGTGAGGCAAATGTATATGATTACAATTACTTTTTATCCCTTTAGTGGTACCTTGCAATGCTGTTCTGAATTTTGTTTGTTTAATCGCAGTTCCATTGGTACGTAATATATGCTTACTAAATCATTTTAAAACAGGGATGTAAGAGAAAAAGATAATATTTTTTTTAAAACATAAATCAGAAATATTTCAGCGTTTTCTCTTTGGTGAAAAATACAAAGAACAATTGTTGAAATTCTTAAGAATCTTTTGATGCATACTGAGTAATTAAACAGCTGCATATCCATTTAAGTAAAGAAAATTTCTACTGCTACATTTGGAGAGGAATCTGCGACTTTACAGAAAATCAAATTTCTAATAAACATCCAGGATGTCAGGAAAAATGGCGAGTAAAAGGTGAAAATTTCATTTGAATTAAATCATTATTTTAAGTGTAAATGTGCTTGATTAGAGTGTCATTTTATTAAAATCCTTTATTTTAAGAATTTGCAAAAATAGAGATCTTGACGAAATAGTATTAAACACTTAAAACTCATAACGATCAAATGTTTTCCCTGATTAAATTCATTGAGAATTAATGTTTCAATTGTTGCAGAAAAATTCCATGATATGCATAAAGTACTTAAACTATTTGAAAGTTAATTACTAGTCTACCAAAGAAAGACTATTATTTTTTCTTACATGTGTAATCATAGAAAATTTGCCTAAGTGCAATATAGTAATTTTGCTTTGTACTCAATGTTTGTTTTATTGTTCGAAGAGACATTATGTACAAATTTATATAAGTGACTTGCTTTGCAAAGATCAAATTACCAACTGTTAAAGAATTTGGTTTTCCTCAGTAAAAAAAAGTAAGGTTTTTTACTGGTAACCTGGAGTTTGTTTTTTTTTTTTTGTCTTCCGAGATCACTACTTTATTCATTTCAATAATCTGGAATATTATTCTAGGTTGGTACAATTACAGAGAAGGTTTTAAATGAGTGAAGACGACACAAAAGAGAAGTGAGAAATTAGAACTGAAAATGTTATATCTAACGATCGTAATTGTATATTTTTATACAATTAAGAACTATCAAAAACATTTAAAGTATATGCGATTTACGATTGCTCTATAGTTTTACCAATATATTTACAGGGTTTCGAGTGAACTTGCTCTCATTTCCTGGAAAGCAGGAAGCATATGCCGATGTTTGGGAATCCCAAATGATCCTCGATTACAAGAACGATTACAATAATGAACGTGAGACTTAGGAATATAATTAAATTCCACAAGGTACAATCAGATGTTCAAATGTGTAGATACAAGAATATTTCGAAAAAACTTGATAATGAAGAAGATAAAGAAACTTCTCTGTTGATGCACGTTACCAAAGAAACAGTGTTCTTTTCACCTTGTCCGAGTTTCCTGGTGACGATTGTTACGCCGGTATTTCGTTTTAAAAAATGCAATCATACAATACCCCGACTTCCAAAGCATTTTTATTTGTTGTTTTTTTAAATATTTTTATGTACTTGACCATCTTCTAATGGAATAGAATGTAATCTGTGTGTACTTGTTTATGCTGGTGAAAGCTAAGGATCGCTTAATAAAGGAATATCGGGTCATCGATTTCAAATAAATCATGTCGGTCAGCAGCTTTTATACAAACATTATAATTTACCTGATCATTGTATTTTGTGAATAAAAGTCAGAATTCTCGAAAAGATTTATCACCACACAAACAGTCTATCACTGAGTGCACCTTTCCATAGACAGCTAGAAGAATTTTGGATTAGAAAACTATGGACAGCCTTTCCCTATGGATGAAGAAGGATATGGAGATAACGAACAGTATTCAATATCAAAGTCCATAAAACAATACAAAATAGGAGCAGAGCAAAGACGGACCTCCGAAACATCAGAGGTGGGATCAGGTGCCATGGAGGAGTGAGCATCCCCTGCCGACCGGTCACACCCGCCGTGTGCTCGTTGTCATGATCAGGACATAACAGAAAAAATCCGTCGTCAATTCAGTGTATAAATAATGGACTAACAATTGGTATGAAAAACGTCAGTCAGCATTTGACTCAATGATAAATTGTATGTGCTGACAAGGTCATTGTATCGACCATAGAACTTACGAAATGATGACTTTAAACGAGACTACTGATATTCTTGTTTCATCAACTTGCTTGTCAATAATTTACCTCGTTTTAGAAATTGTTCATACGTAGAGCATGCCCTTGCGTATCGAATCAATTGAGATATATATACTCCGTATGCAGGTGATGAAGGTATATTGCTGCATAGGTAAGGGAAGTTGACGATGTTTCTTTTTATTCATTACTACCTTGGGATCAACAGTTAGTTCTACATCATATTTGCCCCAAACTTTACTCTGTCCCTTTGAAATTTTAAATAGTCTTGAAAAGATCAATTAAAGCCCATTCATGATTCCTCTACATTGTATTCGCATTTGTCCTTTAAATCTACAAGAGTACGCTTGTTTATAGCAGTATTAAAAGTCTGACAAACAAGGAACAATAGGGAATAGGAACCTGACAAACAAGGAGCAATAGGGAATAGGAGCCTGACAAACAAGGAGCAATAGGGAACAGGAACCTGACAAACAAGGAGCAATAGGGAATAGAAACCTGACAAACAAGGAGCAATAGGGAATAGGAGCCTGACAAACAAGGAGCAATAGGGAACAGGTAGCTGACAAACAAGGAGCAATAGGGAATAGAAACCTGACAAACAAGAAACAATAGGGAATAGGAACCTGACAAACAAGGAACAATAGGATTAGGAAGCTGACAAAGAAGGAGCAATAGGGAATAGGAACCTGACAAACAAAGAACAATAGGGAATAGAAACCTGACAAACAAGAAACAATAGGGAATAGGAACCTGACAAACAAGGAACAATAGGATTAGGAAGCTGACAAACAAGGAACAATAGGGAATAGGAGCCTGACAAACAAGGAGCAATAGGGAATAGGAGCCTGACAAACAAGGAACAATAGGGAATAGAAACCTGACAAACAAGAAACAATAGGGAATAGGAACCTGACAAACAAGGAACAATAGGGAATAGGAGCCTGACAAAGAAGGAGCAATAGGGAATAGAAACCTGACAAACAAGGAACAATAGGGAATAGAAACCTGACAAACAAGGAACAATAGGGAATAGGAGCCTGACAAACAAGGAGCAATAGGGAATAGGAACCTGACAAACAAGGAGCAATAGGGAATAGAAACCTGACAAACAAGGAACAATAGGGAATAGGAGCCTGACAAACAAGGAGCAATAGGGAATAGGAACCTTACAAACAAGGAGCAATAGGGAATAGGAATCTGACAAACAAGGAGCAATAGGGAATAGGAATCTGACAAACAAGGAACAACAGGGAATAGGAACCTGACAAACAAGGAGCAATAGGGAATAGGAATCTGACAAACAAGGACCAATAGGATTAGGAAGCTGACAAACAAGGAACAATAGGGAATAGGAGCCTGACAAACAAGGAGCAATAGGGAATAGGAGCCTGACAAACAAGGAACAATAGGGAATAGAAACCTGACAAACAAGAAACAATAGGGAATAGGAACCTGACAAACAAGGAACAATAGGGAATAGGAGCCTGACGAAGAAGGAGCAATAGGGAATAGGAGCCTGACAAACAAGGAACAATAGGGAATAGAAACCTGACAAACAAGAAACAATAGGGAATAGGAACCTGACAAACAAGGAACAATAGGGAATAGGAGCCTGACAAAGAAGGAGCAATAGGGAATAGAAACCTGACAAACAAGGAGCAATAGGGAATAGGAGCCTGACAAACAAGGAACAATAGGGAATAGGAGCCTGACAAACAAGGAGCAATAGGGAATAGGAACCTGACAAACAAGGAGCAATAGGGAATAGGAACCTGACAAACAAGGAGCAATAGGGAATAGGAACCTGACAAACAAGGAACAATAGGGAATAGGAACCTGACAAACAAGGAACAATAGGGAATAGGAGCCTGACAAACAAGGAACAATAGGATTAGGAAGCTGACAAACAAGGAGCAATAGGGAATAGGAGCCTGACAAACAAGGAGCATTAGGGAATAGGAACCTGACAAACAAGGAACAATAAGGAATAGGAGCCTGACAAACAAGGAACAATAGGATTAGGAAGCTGACAAACAAGGAGCAATAGGGAATAGGAGCCTGACAAACAAGGAGCATTAGGGAATAGGAACCTGACAAACAAGGAACAATAAGGAATAGAAGCCTGACATATTTTGACTTGCTTGTTTCATAAGACTTGTTTTTGCTTTGCTTTTGTATTACATTTGATTACCATATGTTCTGTCAACTTGATCAATGCATACGGCGGGTTCGATATTCATCAGAGGATTCATAGGCTTGCCTTATTAGTCATGGAACTTGTTATAGTCTTACCGTGTGCAAATCGTTAATGCACGCTTTTTTTAGTCTTACAAGTCTGACTAAGGACCGGTACACACGGTAGGACTTGCCTTATAGGTCTAAAACCTTATGTTTTGCTGGACTTACGGCTTTCGTGTACACACCTGAGGCAAGATTTTCAAGATTATTACTAATATTTACCTAAATTTCTTGCGTTTTTTAGTCATAAACAGTGCACATTATTAAACGGAATATTGGATTACTAGCCCGGACATTTAAATAATTTCACAAACCAGTGCATTCATGCTTATAGATACCCTGTTTATGTATATTGTATTTGTGATTTATTTTTCCTAATCAAGTATGTTGTGTCATATGAATAATTACAATTTCTATTCTGGACTACTACTTGAAAAAATGTAATGTATTATTATAAATAACAAGGAAGGATGTACAGGCTCTAGACAGTAGTCTCGCCAGGTTTACAAGTTTCTCACGCCTAACAAGGATAATGAGAGGATTAATTTGTGTATTGTTTTTAGAAAGCAGGAAATCTCACATGACATTTAGAAAGACAAAAAAATCAGCGTGAACGAGGAAGAAAAAATGTGTCTTATTGAATACATGCGGTAGAATCGTAGGTTTAACGCATTATGTATGTTTATTATGGGTGAAATTCATACTATTTCATTTATTTGGATGATGGTCTTTGAATTTGCAGATGTTTCATGTGAAGGGAATATTTGCCCAAATAGAAAGTAAGTATTTCCTTTAAGTTATGTCACTCGTCAGAATGTAGGATGTGTTCAGCCAGAACCTCGCACTGGAATCCTGGAACTTTAGTTCAACATATTGCAATTCATTGCATCTTTATATTGTTTTATGCCAGGAATATGGAATAAAGATTTCATTGTAGAATAAAGTTGACATATTCAATCAACAGCAATTGTCAAGAAATGAACATACAATGTATATCGAAGAAGTCAAGATATAAAATTCACATCTTTTTAGATCTAGAATATCTCAAAAGTAACAACAATGACTTATATTTTTTCTTTATTTTAAATTACACAATACTTTCAAAAGAACAGGATTTAAGTCTTATGTAAAACTTGATACAGGAAAATATCTTATTCCTTATTTAGAATTTTAGTACCCCAAATGTGACATTTTTACAGTACAGGAATATATGCCCGTTGATTTGCATGGTTTGTCCAAAGATAAACAAACTATTTTACATAAAATAATTATATTTATGGATATCTTTACATCTGTTAAAATGATATTAGTTAAAATTATGACTATAAGAATTACAATTTAACAAGTGGCAAAAGTCTCAGTTAATTGTACCGTTGCTCAGTAAGATACACACTAACCACCAAATTGTCTTTGCGATTTTGGCTCATTATTATTATTATTTTGACCGAGCACACGGCGGGTGTGACCGGTTGGCAGATGATGCTCACTCCTCCATGGCACCTTATCCCACCTCTCATATTTCGGGGGGTAATGTTTGCTCTACTCCTATTTTATATTTTTTTATGGACTTTTGATACTGTTCGTTATCTCCATATGTTTCATTACATGTATATGTGTACTTACTTGAAATAGACTCCGAAATATCCTTGATATAACTTATTTTACGAGTGACATTCCTGTATCTTAATATATATAAATTTCTTTTGATATCCCCCCACCCATTTTCAAAGTTAATGTCTCAATTTAATTTTTCAGCAGCATTACACAATGTTGTTCTGGTTATCGAACAATCAATGGTTCCTGTACAGGTAAAGAAAAATTTACTTTCTTCATAACTTTATTAACGATTAATCATCAATATGACTACATGTAACAATCTGTTCTGGTGTAGTTTATGTGTAATGTATAAAGTTTATCCTTGAGGATATGCATCAGTGTTATTACGACGAAACTGACACATGCAGTAGACAAACGACTGACATCAAATAGGGAAATCTTAAAGTTTGATATCAGACAATTTTTTCTTATTATATTATCATACTAAACATTCTATAGTATTCACATTAAATATTATTAGCTTTAAAAAAACTTACCTCTCTATATTTATATTCAGTATTAGATAAAATATATGAACCTTCTCGGTTAAAATATAAAAAAGAAATATGTTACACAAGTATTGCCATACGTTTAAAATAAAATAATATGAATATCTAGATTTATATCCAATTTTTTTATTTATCCATTTGCTTATAGATTATAAAAAAGATTCCACAGCGTCTGACACATCTGTTTCATATTTGGTAATGGTATTCTAACAACCAAGCTCTATGATAAACGTGATGACTTTAACCTTTCTATCATCAACTTCCCTTACTAATGCAGAAATTTATTTCTTTACCTGCATACAGAGTTTATATATCTCAGTTGATTCGATACGCAAGAGTATATTCTACGTACGAACAATTTCCAAAACGAGATAAATTATGGACAAGCAAGTTGATGAAAGATGAATTCTAGAAGTCTCGTTTCAAGTCATCATTTCATAAGTTCTATGATCGATACAATGACCTTGTCAGCAAATACAAATTATCATTGGGTCAAATGCTGTTTGTCGTTTTTCATACCAATTGTTAGTCCATTATTTATACACTGAATTGACGACGGATTTTCCCGTTATTTCCCAATCATGACAAGGAGCACACGGCGGGTGTGGCCGGTCGACAGGGGATGCTCACTCCTCCATTGCTTATGGTCCCTCCTCCAATTTTTTGGAGGTCCGTGCTTGCTCTGCTCCCTTTTTGTATTGTTTTTTGGACTTTTCATCTTGAATGCTTTATCTCCATATGTTTCATGAAGAATATTTGACTTGTTTTTTGTAACACTGAATACAATGAGACTTTGGTCATTTATATGACTGTTTATAAAAATGTAAAAATATGTTTAAATTGTACAGTTGTGTTTGTTGAAATGCTTTTCCGTGCCCTTGATTGGTAAATAAAATACCCCGTGTATTGTGTAAAATATATTTATTAAAACTCATTTATTTACTTTATAGTACTTTTAAAAAACAGAAAACATAATAAAATTGTGTTTTTTTCGGATGCAGCGTGTGTTGGTTTTTATGGGCAGAATTGTACACATCCATGTAAAGATGACTATTACGGTGAAAAATGTGAGCTTCGCTGTAATTGTTCCTTGGGTGAAAGTTGCAACCCTTATGTAGGATGTCTCTCAGATGAGACAAGAGAAAGAAGTGCGACAGGTGAGAGAGGTTTCTCAGAAGTTTCTCTGGTGAGAAGGTAAGACAGGGAAGAGAAGTGCGACAGGTGAGGCATGTCTCTCAGGTGAGACAGGGAAAGAAGTGTGACAGGTGAGACAGGTTTCTCAGGTGAGACAGGGAAAGAAGTGCGACAGGTAAGACAGAATTCTAGGTGAAACAGAGGGAAAAAATGCGAGAGGTGAGACAGGTTTCTCAGATGAGTCAGGGGAAAGAAGTGCCACAGGATAGACATGTTTTTCAGGTGAGACAGGGTAAAGAAGTGCGACAGGTGACACATGGAAAGAAGTGCGACAGGTGAGACAGGTTCAAGAAGTGCGACAGGTGAGACAGGTTTTTCATGTAAGACAGGTAAGAGAGGTTCTCAAGTAAGATAAGGTAAAGAAGTGCGACAGGTGAGACGGATTTTTAAGTTGAGAAAGGGGAGAGAGGTTTCTCAGGTGAGACAGGTTTTTCATGTAAGACAGTTTAGAGAGGTGCTCAGGTAAGACAAGGTAATGAAGTACGACAGGTGAGACGGATTTCTCAGCTGAGACAGGGGAGAGAAGTGCGACATGTGATACAGGTTTCTCAGGTGAGACAGGGGAAAGAAGTGCGACAGGTGAGACAGGTTTCTCATGCAACACAGGGTCAAGAAGTGCGACAGGTGAGGGAGTTTTCTCAGGTAAGACAAGAGGGTGAAGTGCGACAGGTGAGACAGGTTTCTTAGGTGAGTTAGAGGAAAGAAGTGCGACAGGTGAGACAGGTTTCTCAGGTGAGACAGGGAAAGAATTGCAACAGGTGAGACAGGGGAAAGGAGTGCGACAGGTGAGACAGGCTTCTCATGTAAGACAGGTAAAGAAGTGCGACAGGTGAGAGAGTTTTCTCAGGCGAGACAGGGTAAAGAAGTGCAACAGGTGAGACGGATTTCTCAGGTTAGACAGGGTAAAGAAGTGTGACAGGTGAGACAGGGGAAAGAATTGCGACAGGTGTGACAATGGAAAGAAGTGCTACAGGTGAAGCAGGTTTTTCATGTAAATAAGGGTAAAAAAGTGCGACAGGTGAGACAGGTTTCTCAGGTGAGACAGGGAAAGAATTGCAACAGGTGAGACAGGGGAAAGGAGTGCGACAGGTGAGACAGGCTTCTCATGTAAGACAGGTAAAGAAGTGCGACAGGTGAGAGAGTTTTCTCAGGCGAGACAGGGTAAAGAAGTGCAACAGGTGAGACGGATTTCTCAGGTTAGACAGGGTAAAGAAGTGTGACAGGTGAGACAGGGGAAAGAATTGCGACAGGTGTGACAATGGAAAGAAGTGCTACAGGTGAAGCAGGTTTTTCATGTAAATAAGGGTAAAAAAGTGCGACAGGTGAGACAAGTTTCTCAGGTGAGACAGTGAAAGAAGTGTGACAGGTGAGACAGGTTTTTCAGATGAGACAGGGGAAGGAGTGCGACAGGTGAGACAGGGTAAAGAAGTGCGACAGGTGAGACAGATTTCTCAGATGAGACAGGGGAAAGAAGTGCGACAGTTGAAACAGGTTATTTTATGTAAGACAGGGAAAGAAGTGCGACAGGTGAGACAGGTTTCTCAGATGAGACAGGGGAAGGAGTGCGACAGGTGAGACAGGGTAAAGAAGTGCGACAGGTGAGACAGATTTCTCAGGTGAGAAAGGGGAAAAAATTGCGACAGATGAGACAGGTTCCTTATGTAAGACAGAGAAATAAGTACAACAGGTGAGACGGGCTTCTCAAGTGAGGCAGGGGAAAGAAGTGCAACAGTCGAAACAAGTTTCTCAGGTGAGACAGGGTAAAGAAGTGCGACAGGTGAGACAAGGGAAAGAAGTGTGACAGGTGAGACAGGTTTCTCAGGTGAGACAGGGTAATGAAGTGCGACAGGTGAGATAGGTTTCTCAGGTGAGACCGGGTTAAGAAGTGCGAAAAGTGAGACAGATTTCTCAGATTTCTCAGGTGAGAAAGGGGAAAGAAGTGCGACAGGTAATACAGGTTTCTTAGGTGAGATAAGGGAAAGAAGTGCGACAGGTGAGACAGGGGAAAGAAGTGCGATAAGTGAGAGAGGGGAAGAAGTGCGAAAGGTGACCAGGTTTCTCAGATGAGACAGGAGAAAGAAGTGCGACAGGTGAAAGAGCTGAGAGAGGTTTCTCAGGTGAGACAGGGGAAATAAGTGAGACAGGTTTTTCAGGTGAAACAGGGGAAAGAAGTGCTACAGGTGAAACAGCTTTCTCAGGTGAGACAGGGGAAAGAAGTGTTACAGGTGAAACAGCTTTCTCAGGTGAGACAGGGGAAAGAAGTGCTACAGGTGAAACAGCTTTCTCAGGTGAGACAGGGGAAAGAAGTGCTACAGGTGAAACAGCTTTCTCAGGTGAGACAGGGGAAAGAAGTGCGACAGGTGAGACAGGTTTTCCAGGTGAGACAGGTTTCTCAGGTGAAACAGGGGAAATGGAAGAGATTTGGATGACACCAATATATTTGTTTAAAAATATTTTCTCTATGGATTTCCTTACCATCAATAGTTTGAAATTCAAACGTTTAAGGAAAATCAAACGAAAGATGTCTTGTTGTTAGAGTTTCTTTTTTCGTGCAAAAACTAATAAACTGATAAAAGTGTTTCTGGTTTGTTAAATAACAAATTGTCCTCTACAAAAACGATTCTCGAATACTATTCTCTTTTTTCAGATAAAACATATGGGAATAAAACAATGGACAAGACAGCTTCTCATCAGTGTGTCACTAACTGTGTAACCCAAACAGTTCTCGTGTTCGCCCTTACTGTTTCTAATTTACTGCTCCTTGTGATGTGTATTGTAATGGCCTGTTGTTGGAGGTTTGTTGTAACGACATTAATGTACAAAATTAATAAAAAATATAAATTTGAATTGTTTTTATGCAAATTTTCAGCCGACCCTTTTTTACAACAACAACAAATTAGAAAAATATCGATAAAATCGTTTTGTGAAATAGAAACCTGGAGAAGAACATCGTATGTAGAATATAATAATGATAATAAATGTATTTTTCTTTCCAAATTAAATGCTTTTAGGATACAATTATTAAAAGATAAGATGTTTTTACTTTAACAATGTTTCAATTAGATTTTATCTTTTAAATTTTACAGACGTTCAGAAAAGTCTAAATTTTTGAACCCAGTTACAACCAATGACTTATATGCTGGAGAAAAAGACATCTGTTCTTCGGGTCACAATTCCCAATCTGAGCACAGAAACACTACGTATAATAGCTACAGCCATATACGCCTCAAGAATGAGGAACTGATAATTCACAATCCAGATGATTATGGCACGACTGTTTTACCTTATGACACCGTACAGGATGTAAAGACAGAAACCGCTGGAAATGAGTTCTCCGAGGGGAGAGTGATACATGAGCAACCATTTGGCGTCCTGGATACATTTCGTCCTTCGATTGATCAAAAACTCTCTCCTGTGCATCCTACAACACGACCCTACAGTTTAGCAAACTTAAATAGAGACGCTACAGAAAGTTAATGTAGTATTCCTTAGAATAGAACAGATGGGCAGAATCATAGTACCATAAAACGATTCATAAGTGTCGAATACAGCAGAAATTATTAAAGTAATATATTCCGTAATTTTTTAACAAGCCTGTTCTACTAGTAGTGCAACCGTCACCACCACCCCTAGAACAAAATAGAGGACTTATGATGTTGCTCATGTCTAAAGTATCAAATAAAGGAAATAACCTTAACAAGATAAAAGAGAGTTAAAAGAGATAACTGATACTTACTTGCCTAATTATAATGACCAGAAATTCTTAGTTCTTATAATACAAAACTAAATTTAAATCAAAATGAACGAGATGAAAATAATGAACAGCAGTCGATCGCATGTAGATTAAAAACAATAATAAAAGTCAGAAAACATGGCAATGAAGCGAGATGAGACCAGAAGTTCAGAGGAGATAGCATCAGTTGCTGACCGGTTATAGCTGCCGTGAATCCACTGTATTGATGAAGTAGATGAAAAATTCCATAGTTAAAAATAGTTTTCTATTTTAAATAAAGTCCCTACCAAGGTTGTTAAATACATGCAACATCAACTTATTTGTGAGAAGCTTGTCTCCTTTAAAATTGACTTGATCATATACAGAACATTATTTTGAGAAGCAAACAACTAGTTAGAAATAACTATCATATAAAGGTAATGGTGGAATATTGCAATATAAATGAGGAAAGTTGACAATAGAAAAAAATAAAGTTGTCTCAATTGTCAGACAATTTAGCTTATTTGTAATTCTGAGGAATATCAAGTCCCTTACTTAGTGCTTCCGAGTATTTTGATTTTTTTAAAATGTAACTGACACCAGTTAGTCGATACTACACTTTATTTAGAGTGTAGAAAGATCTACATTCCGGATATCAGAATATTAATCCCACTATGGTGACTGTTACAGGACATATACAAATATATTCTAGTATTACATTAAATCACTTCAAGTGTATGTTTCATACTCAATGTTTCTGAGCTGCATAAATTACAACCTATATTGGAATATTTTCCTGTTCTCCAATAAAAGGAAAATATAATCAAAATGTCGATTTAAATTGAGATGTAGAATCGATCGGCACAATGAACATACTCCTACCTTGCTCGATAATTCTAGCCTTGAATGTGGCAATGGTTTTTGGTGACGGAAATAAGTGTGAAACTGAAGATCGAAGGTAAGTTTTTTAAAAAAAAAGATTTTTAATTTTTATCCATGGCTTGTGTTTAGGAGCATTCTTCCTGCTCTTTGAAACATAAAAAAAAGTTACTATAATGTTTGATAAGAACCGTACTTTTAGCATAAAGTTCTAAAAATTGTTTTCGAAATTATTGTTTTCTTTTTCATAATTTTGATTTGCTGATAATTCATTACCTCCTCGCGTTTATACGAACCATGTACTTTTTTCAGTCAGTCATGTTGTGCTGGTTACATAATAATTGAAAATAGATGTACTGGTAAGTTATCAGAATTTTTTCCCTACCTTTTGTGAAGTTAAAAACAGATAGGGGAAACTACTTTTTTTACATTCCATCCTCTCTAGCCGAATGTAGTATTACATGTTTATTGATGGTTACAGAATGTGTTGGGTCCTATGGTAAAGATTGTTTTAAAGAGTGTCCAGATGGATTTTATGGAGCATCATGTCAAAAAGAATGTAATTGTACAGAAACAGAAACATGCGATCCGTTTGCAGGATGTGTTGACATAAATGTCAAATGTACACGGAATGGTACGTAAGCAATTAATACAGTGTTGATATAAAAGGTCAGTTGAAAACAAGCTTATAAAGAGAATTTGTATCCATAGTTAAGATGAAAAAAGAGAAGTTTTTATGGTCATTTGGCCTTAGGTTTCATTTCAAAAGGAAACAGAGAACTTATCTAAAAATTCTAACATAATTATGAATTTGTAACCTTAGTTTTTGATCATTTGACTTCAAAACCAGAAAAGGTAACGTTTCAACTAACTCACATTGACTAGGACAAATTTAAACTGCTTAACCTTACAGAAAATTATAGTTATCCACTTGAACAATTTTATACAAGCTATGAATTATAAAGTTGACCTTTTAACCAGATAACCGGGGGGTGTTGGGGGGTGTTGGTGGGGTTATAGGGTTATAAAGATGTTTGATATATTATTTCATAATTAAAGTTAAAGGAAAACTAACGCTGTCATATGTAAGTTTTTTTGTATTTTTTTTTTTTGATTGGCCTGTGTCTTAAACATTTTGAGATCTTGTTCAATCTTAAGGTAGGATTCTTCTCATATTTCTAATCTTTAAAAATTAATGAAAATTTCACAGAATCAAGAAGACAATATCAGTAAGTCATAGTATCAGTGAAATTAAATTTGACCTTTTTATATTAGAGGCAATTGCAAGGTCAGGTCAAGGTAATTATCTTTTTCCTTGACATTAAGAATAAATCAAAGTACTGAGAGTACTGGGAAGCGCTAAGTATGGTTTGAGTTTGAAATTCATCAGAATTTAAATTCCTTATCGCATTGGAATAAGTACATGTAATATTTTTAAAGGGGGGGGGGAGGGTGCGGCGAACTCAATTGTTTAATTGAAATAAACCCAGCTCTTGATTGACTTGACTGTTACATTAAATAGCATCGAATGTAAGTTGTATTACAAAAACGTTTTTTTATATATGCAAAGAAAAAAAAAATTGACAAAGAGAATCTAATTTACTATCTCTGTGCAATTTTTTAACGCAAGTGAGTTACTTTTATAACCTTTCTTTGTTTGTCACACCATAGGGTAGCTGCAATAATGTAGCCCTCTCCGATTTTTTTGGGGGGAGAGGGCTACAACTCCTTAGGATCTCCGTAATGATGCAAATGCGGCTGTGAATCACTCCCGCACGGATTTCGGCTCAAATCATCAGTAAACGGCTATTTTATTAACATCTCTTACCTGAACTCCAAAAAAGTAATTATGCAAGACATAAATCCATTCAAAAATATTCACAACGACCCATATATCGGTTATTTTTCGTGTATGTCAACATCACAACTTGAATTTATTCGCCATGTTTACTGACCTTGATAGATTTTATTTTGGGACAGCCAATGAGAATTTAGATTCTATAGGAGCGGATCTTTTAGGAATTCCCTTATTTTAAGCATACATATCGCTATTTGCGTAAAAATAACACTTGAAATGGTTTTATTTATCGATATTTTTGTGATACATTTCAGGTCAGTTGTTTATAAACATCGACATTTGCTTTTTTAGGTTGTTCTTAGTTGTTCTAAATTTCAAGCGAAAGCCTCAGTACGTCACGCGTGAACTGTCATAGCTGCTGCTGGTAAACATGCAGATACAATCGCAACTTCTCGGGCCTTTCCGACTAGCGGAAAAACGACCTCGAATGTACATGGTAGACGCCATGACAACCCTCCCTTTTCACGATCTTTGAATAAAATGCATGGAGACCTTTTATCTGTGGAATATGGAGTTTAACTTTATTCAATGTAATGATATTACCTAAAATATACTATAGAAGGGACTTCTAACTCCTTCTATCCTATATTTGATTAAACAGGAAATGTATATATTTTTAACATCCGGTGATGTTAATACATTCGAGGTTGTTTTTCAGACCTCTTACGGAAAGACTCGAGATGATGCGATTGCATGCAGATATATTTTACATGGGTTTTCGAGTTTAGAGGGCTATGTTGTTGACAGTGAATAAAAATTCCGTCTTATAAGAAGTAAGTTGAATGTAAAAATAATTTATTTTGCCTTCAATCGCCTGTATTTAAAAATATATTTGCAACCTTACGGAGATGCTGAGGAATTGTAGCCCTCTCCAGAAAATATCAGATTAAAAAACGCGAGAGGGCTACATTATTGCAGCTAACCATAGGGCAGTAACACAGTTACCCGTCCGGACAACAAGATTACTTGTGTTGCATTGTGGGTCCAGGTTTCTGCGATAAAATTAAATTATATCAATGTTACAGTACGATTTTTTTCTTCTGACTCATCTCATTCAGATTATGTATATAGCTCTACATTAGCTGGAAAGCTGGAGTTTTTTTTTTGGGGGGGGGGGGCAAATTTTGAATACCTAAGATGTTGCTGAAAACCTTCTAGTGAATTTTTGAACAATAAATCATTCTACTCTCAAAAATATTATTTGTACTTACTAAAATTCAAAATTGACGGTCGGCGACCGTGTCTGTCTTTGTTATTATCGGCCGCATAGGTGATCGATCTATTGGCTGTTGTATTTGAAAGTGCACGGGGAGAAATGAGATATTATTTTTTATTTGTTCCATTTAAAACATCCTTTAATGATAAAATATATTTAGGATTATGAATAAAAGATTTTTAAAATGCCTTAAAATTTTGTTTGAACTGTTTTTATTTAGTCATAGATATTTATAAAGTTATAATTTTTATATAAACGGTTTAAAAAAAATCCTAGCATTTGAGACATATAACAAAAATCCCCGAAGACTTTGAAATTTAAAATGCTTCCGTTTTTTTTTCTTCACTATGTAAAACATGCTGACAAGAATGAAATAGCCACAACATCCAAGCGTTCAGTCTAAAGGAATTTTCTGCATAAAAATATTTTAATACAGATAAAGACTATGTAGAAAACTTAGTTAAACATTTATTTTAATGGAATCATACATGTACTACTAATAGATTTGATCCAATTTGATTTTTAGAAACTCACTGAAAAGTTTCAATACACGTGCACATTAAATGTTTTTTTCGGTATTTATATTAACTTTTTCGAATTACACCGCAGAAATAAGATTTGTGACATAATTGGTGTTTGCCAGTACTTATTGATATGTACCATATTGTTCAGAGATAAGATCCGCCAAATTTCCGTACATACGAAAATTAATATCAACTCTACTAATTAACACCTATTATGATAACTCCTACAATAAATTAGCCGACAGAGGGTCGGGGATTTCCAGTTGTATATTTTTAGACGACTTGGTACAGTTACATAACTTGCTCAGTGGCGCTGTATTTCGTAAGCTTACTAGTTAGCACTGTATCACTCCTCGAAATTGAGTTCGTCATTTTGAAATCGAACATAATATACAACATCTATTTTAAAAAAAATAATCACCTTTAAAAAGAACCACATATATTACACCACGGAGATAATTAAGGTCAACAATAGGAGCCCATGCAAAGGCA